TTGAAAATAACACCATGCATGTGAAGCTCAGCCTGTAAGCGTTGTGATTGGTTAGAACCTGAATGATCTATTCGGCTATTCCGATGTGAATCGAATATTCACGGGTTGTATTTCATGATATTCGACTCATAATCGACCCAAGTTATTGTGGTACCCAATTAGTGATTAACAGCAAGATATTGATCGTTCACATCGAAGTCTAATGAGAGACGAAATTCGACTGGTAGAAAACTGTCTGAGACGGGGCAAAACAATGACCTCGGTGGTGCAGTGAGCAACACGTGAGCCTCCGGAAAGGGTAATAGCGGGTTCGAATCTGGCGCGGGGTCCAAGTTTTGCAAATATCTCAGCAGTTGTAATTCATACCATAAAAAATTATGGTTGGCAGTAAATAAAAAGTTAACATAATTGTTTTAGTTAAGTAAGTAAAAGGATAAATGATGCTCTCGGCGTTGATCAATCCCTTGGCGATGCGCCATGCATTTGACATCGCTAAGCATCGTTGGAGGTGATTGAATGCATAATCTGGCCCTTATTATAACCCGCGATAACCTACCGACGTATCGAGCCAGGGCTGCTATCCTCTCAGACTAGTCTGGTACCAATCCTCCGACCGCGGAGGGATGAAGGGTTTGGTGAGTCCTAGGCGCAGGGATCGATTCCATGTGTGTTGCAGGGTGCTTTCGACCACTGTGCCACACGTTAAGGAAGTAGAACTTTAAAATACCTTACTACTTTATCGGTCGTTCCGATGTTGATATTATCATCTATATCACGGATTCATTTTTCGATTTGATTTTACTTTTTTGTTTTTTGAATTTTGTTTTTTATCTGATTTTCTTGTTTGAAATACGTTAACATTTAAAATTGAACTACCAATGGAACAGGTTTGTACTAAACAATATCGAGAATATGATTTAACTCTTTTTACAGGGAGAATGGGCACATGTAGCGCAGTGGTTACAGCTGTCTTACGGCACGCACGTGATCATTGGTTCTACCTAGTCTCCTGCTTCCCAAGCCTTACATGCTTCCAGAGTCGGCATATTTGTGCCAGAAATTGCCCGAGAGAGTAGTAGCCTTAACTCGGTCCATATCGGCAGGCCACGATAAGTCTTTATAGAAGACAAATATGCATTAAACCACCTCTAACAATGCTTGATAAAGTCGAATACATGGCGTATCCCTCAAGGGTTGACCAACGCTGAACACTCTTTCGTTATCCTTATCGTCGTGAAATTTTGGCTACACATGTAACTAGCGAAGCTGCATATAACTAGAATTACTTGGGTCGTGTGGCAGATCTTCCGTCTCGATCTGATCTTTTACGATAAAGAAAACACAAAGTACAAAGAAAGCAGCGTGATTTGATGGGAAAAGCGATGACTATACACTGATGGGATATAAAGAGAGCAGCTTGAACAACATGATTCGGTTCACACTAATACATTTCTTCGTATTTTTGTTGAGCAAACGCGAGGTGTTATTATTCTTTATTCACGAATAAGCTGACGTTTCGGCGGATTTCGCCTTCCTCAGAGCCTGGAAAGGTCAAGTTGATAGCAATCTACTCGGCCAGACGCCTCCATAACCAAAGAAAGAAACTCTAAACCAAGATTTCAATCACATTGAACACAGCTTTGCACACTCACCGCTTTCTATGAGGTCTCCACTAAGTATGTCACGTAGAGACCAACCGCACAGAAATCACATGGAAGCATGATGTGCCCCTCCCATCAGAACAGCAGTCTTGTATACTGCCCTATATCACGCGTGATAATGAGGCATTCTTCCCTGCGGTTCATTTTCGGGCTCTGAGGAAGGAGAAATCCGCCGAAACGTCAGCGTAATCGTGAACAAAGAATAATAACACCTCGCGTTTGCTCAACAAAAATACGAAGAATTACTTGATCAATGCCGAGGTTAATAGAAAGTCGGTCGTGGGAGTTACTAATACATTTTTTTTGCAAAATTTCACATCCTTTTTACTAGTTTTCATACACTTTATATTACACGATCTCTCTTCACGTCTCTTGTGCAGACCCCAGCACTTCTCACATCCTCATTTCCCTGCGTCCATCATCCACGAAAGTCTTGCAAGTTTTTACGTGTTGCTTCGCTTGCTGCTTGAGGATTTTCATTTCTAGTTGAATGCGTAGAATGCTGGTCAAACAATTCTTCCTGTGGTCCTATGATAGCCGAGTTGGAGCGTTCCCAATTGGATCGCAGAGAATGATTTTTCCCAGACAAGTCTGGTGTCAATTTCCTGACCCTGCAGGAATGAGAGTTGGGGAGCCAGGGGCAGGATCGAACGAGAACCGTGCTCGAGATTATGAGCACCACTACCACTTTGCTATCCGCTCCGACGCTAATACATAATTGTAACATATTCGTAATAATGCACATTGCTTTCCACAGTTTATTTGTTCTTGTTTCTTCTTCTACATACATTTTGCAATGTCTGCTTTATTATAATCTCTTACATAGCAGAGATGCTCGTAGTTGTGCCAGAAACGCTAATTTCCACATAATTAACGAAAAAAGTCCTTACGTAGGACGAGTTTGCTCGTATCCACGAGTTTGTCTTGGTTATTTCTTTTCCGAGGTGATTACATCCTTATTATATATATATATATATATATATATATATATGTATGGTAAATGTATATATACATATATACATATATATACATATATTTGGAGTAATGAAGAACACTATTGCTGATCTGGAGCGCACCAGAATATCTCCCAATCTTGGTCGCTAGAGAATTTCAAAGGCCTTACGGAGTAAACTTGGTGAAATTCCTAAGTCTGTCTTGTAAAGTTCTAGTTGTATAATTTTCACTATCAGACAAATTAAACTCTGAGGGTTGTTCCCCAGTATTGATTGAATCGCTCAGTATACTCTAAGGAATAAAAACTCTTCTTTCGATTGCCATAACACGCTTTAAAAGTGCCATTTTTCGCTTCTAAGGACTGAACTAAAAACGTTGGCCATTTTTGTATGGTTACATTCACTTTAACCATTTCGCAAGCACGCGCTAGATTGCTGTATGCATGCTGCTGTACTTTTCGGACCGTACAGGCAGTCGCAGCCCTTGTGGATTCGACGATGATTTGCCACCATGCGACTTTGATACCATGATGGTGGTGGGTTATGGTATTGGTTTACTCTTAGCTAGGCTTCGTGATGGAAACGCCGGACTCTTTCTCAGTTTGGGAGACCCTGTTGGGGGACGAATCCTCCCGCTGTACATCGCAGTCCGACACCCAAGAACACCTCCCAGCCACGATGAGGCGGTAAAGCGTTAGGAGGATACCTCAGATATGGTTTAAAAAAACCACACAGAAAGCTAATAATACCGTGAGTAGATACTGAACGAGTTTTTTCATAACAAACAGGAGATCACACACAGTGGATGTCCATGGACATAAGAGCATAAAATAAAGGATAATGCTCTCGGCGTTGATCAATCCCTGAGGGATGCGCAATGGATTCGACTTCATTAAGCATCGTTTGGAGGTGATTAGATGAATATTTGGCTTCTACAATGACTCGTGGTGACCTACCGATGCATCGAGCCAGTCCTGCTATCCTCTCAGACAAGCCTAGTACCAATTTGCCGACCCGGAAGGGATGGAGGGCTTGGTGAGCTTGGGGCACTGGGACCGATCCACGGGTACTGCAGGGCGCCCCCGATCAATGCGCCATACGCGCCCCTAATAAGAACATGGACAGCATGAAATAGCGAGCATGTAGAAGTTAGATAAACACGGAAAATATATGAGTAAACCAAGTGATATAGCGATAACCTCAAGAAACCGGTGAGCAGTGCCTTTTGACATGGCTAGCGGACCGTACACCCTGATCCCTATGCGCCCGTCGATCGCGCTCCAATGACAATCGGTCCAGTGGACTTGCGTGTAAAATTAGCCTCGGCCGCGATAGGGTTAGCAAAACGTGACCCAGTTCCAATATCTTCCACCTTCGTAGTTTGTAGTGGTTTGAATTGTCCCGAAATCCTCCACTAAGACGCATTCTAAAGCTGTTATTGATTGAATTTGTATGAACATTCGGAAAACTTCTGGAAGGAATTGTCCATTCTAATGTGGCGAACTTTGCAGTTGCGTTGGTTATACCATAAACCATCAAGGTGATGATACTCTCTTCCTCAATCGTCGTTGCTTCAGACTGAACATCTGGGGACATTCCCTATGGAAATGATGTGTTCGAGAAGTGTAGAATTTCCACATGGAAGTCCAACTTGAGAAATATCTACACAAAGAATCGTTGACGTCCTTGAAAAAAATCTGCTGGTCGAGGCAGCAGTCCTCCATCACACCCAATAGAGCCTTAGATTCCTTGTGGTATCAACTTGGAAATCTCTTCATACAAGTTGTTTTAGAAATGCTAGGTATAACACGTCAAATCAGTTACATTCCACTGAGATGGAAATCGTGTTGGAGCACCTATGATTCTTTTTAAAACTACTAACTAAAGGCTTAAGATTCTTTCTTCACTTCGTTTAAGATCTGTTCAAGTTCACTATGATGTCGCTATAACGAAAGAGTTCCATTTGGCATTTTAAGCCACTTAGGATCAATGTGGTATGATTTGTGGTGTTCAGCAGGCCTAATAGGAGAATGAATCTGTTTCTTATTCACATTTTCGAACTCTAGGTGATTTTAACTCTAGGACTTAAGTTACTGTCCGAGTTCACGAAGGTTAACTACTCTTAGGTTTAACATAAATCCGCTTTATAGAGATGCTTACTGTATTTAGTTCATTTCGACTCCGTTATTCGTAGCCTCAAGAACGCGCTTTTTCCCCATTGGGTCTTTGTCTAAATGGCTAAGTAGCTTGTCATGCCTTCTCCTTTTAGGGTACTTTGAAGTGAAGTGCAACTTCCAACTGGTTTTCTTACACGGTATAAGGTGTTCTTCATGTCGACCCACACGTGTTGATTGATTGCAGAGCCTACATCGAGGGTTTCAGGAACATGGAGAGGCGACGTGAGACATCCAGATACGCGGCCAGAGACCGAAGAGGGAAAGAAACCGAAATATTTAGTGATCTTCGAGCGGTGAGTTTGCATTCGTATTTGTCGCTAAGGTTGCTGTTGTTTGGAACGTTGTATTCCTTAAGGTCGTCCCTATAGTTGGCACGGCTACCGTCACTCATCTGGATAGGATTGCCATATTACGCGTTAGCTCTGCTTGGTGTAGATTACGGAAAATAGCTCCTAATGGTGAGGTACTTGGTATACTCATTGATATTTCATATCTTGTCCTCTTAGGTTTTCTACTCTCTATGATTTCCATGGTTTGCATTTAGTGTTAAAGCCATCAATAGTCGGACCTGAATTGACAAAGGTTGATCGGAATTTGTGGTGTGAAGACACGATAACAGAATCTTTGGATGGATTCATAATCATTGCCGATAGCGAGGCAACGATCTTGTGTGTAACGGAAAGCGTATGCCTGTATCTCGGGCTTAGTCAGGTTCGTCCCCTACGCATTTGTCACTCTAACATCTTTCTATTTTTGTATCTTTCTTAAATTCGGTTATTTATACTAGTCTCCCAACACTTTACTGCTTCATCGTGACTGGGAAGTGTTCCTGGGTCTCGGGCTGCGGTATACACTGGGGAGATTCATTTCCCAACAGAGTCTCTCAAGCTGAGAGGAAGTCCGGCGTTCCCATCAGGAAACCCAGCTAGGAGTAAACCCAATACCAAGATCCACCACCATCCCGGTATCAAAAAAGTTGCATGGTAGTAAAACTCCTGTTCCACAAAACGGCGACTGGCTGTGGTGGTGACGACCTGGTGTAGACTTTGGCTCTGCTTACCTCGGGACAACACTAGGGAACCACAATGGCTAAACCAGCAAAACTCCGAAAAAGTGGAAATTATGCTAAACTCCGCACAGCCAGCGAAGACGCCCCATCTAATTATCTAAGTAAGTATTTGTTTTGGGCAGTGTTGTGATTGTTATTTGTCAATCAATTGGAATCATTTGCACTGCATTTTTATTACGCCCTTCAGTTAACTTTGTACTTGCTTATACTGTCAACGCTAAATATTGGTTTGCTACATAGTCAGAAATCGTAAGCTAGAAACGTGGATATTAAAATAGCATAAAGGTTGAAACTTGATCAATACCTAAGGGATGCGCCATGCATTCGACTTGATTAAGCATCGTTGGAAATGACTGAACGCTTATCTTGCCTTTACAATGACTCGCGGTGGCTTACTGATGTATGAAGCCGACGTTGCTATCTTCCCCGACAAGTCTGGTACCAGTTTGCTGTCCCAGGAGAGATGGAAAGCTTGATAAGTCTTGAGGGAGGAGATCGATCGCATGTGCATTGCAAGTCTATGGCATATGTCAACGCTATCCTAAAGCAACTGATGTTGAAGTAATGTCGTAGACGAGATTCTGCGTAGGAAGACGGGGTTTCATAGGAACCTATTTTATGGACCATTTAATCTATATATTCATCGATTTAAAAAAGTGAGAAGGCGAGAACTGTTTGGTTTGCAGTGTGAGATTTTCCCAGTGTTTGCTTTGTCTTTCATGTTTCACTGACATGACATGAGTAATATGTTGGAGTCGCTTTCAGGTTGATATTCAGATATCCCCACTTCCCGATAGATGAGGATAGTCATGCAGTGATGTTTTCTACTTCACTACTTTTCGTACTCATTTCGTTTTCTTGGGAAGTGTCGATCTTCAGTCTTAATTTGATTTTTCTTTCATTCCAGTTTTCCTTTTCAGACAGTTCTACTGCATTATGAAGGAAATAGTATCGACTCAAATTTACATGTCAAAGTATAATTATCCTTTCTCGAAGACTCTATTTTTCGCTTTAAGATAAAGAAGCCAAGACTTTAATATTCATCACTACAAGAGGAAACCTATCTAAGTGGGTAGAACATTAGGGAAATCGGACATCGTCAGCTCTTCGATAATAGTCTCATCATTAGTTTTGTCAACAAGTACTTTGCTTTTTTCCAAAATTGCCAAAGTTCCTGAAAAGGTAATACAAGAGAAAAGAAAGACAGTTCGAGTTCGAGCAAGAGAAAGGATAGTTCAGGTGTACTGAATGAAACGAATGTATAAAGTCCAGTTTATCCGAGTTTTAAAATGTTTTTCCTAACTTTATTGGACTATTGCGAGGATCGTCTATGACCCAACACATTTTTCGTTCAACTGGCATGTTTTCGATTTTTTTCGAAAGACTTTTTCCTTGAAGTTCCTGAAAACTAGTGCCAGGATAACTATGTCTGATAACCATAGACCGTTTGTCGTGGATCTGAGTAGGCCGAATTCTGCCGAAACGTCAGCTACGATTGTGTTGTATGTGTGTTATTGTATGGAAGTAAACGTATGCTGTTGAACAACCTCGCGATTGCTGAGAGGGAAAACGACGAATTCATAATCCAATGCCGAGGTTAATAGAAAGTCGATCTTAGGATCTGAGTAGGGTTTGCCAGCTTAGCACTAAGTTTAATATAGGATAGCGTCTATTAATGGGAATAGTTACTCTTAATTGGGCTTATTTATGGAAATATGAGGCTTCTTATGATGGCTGGACGTGCTCGAAGAGTGTACATCCACTGTATAACAGAGCCATATCCAGTGATATCACCTACCCACAATTAGCTGTTAATTCATTCTGGGGTTTTTTAGATTTGTGGTATGAGTTCGTTGTACTTAAAATATGTCCATTTTGGTGTATCATTGGTGAATACAAGGGCGCATGTGGCGTAGTGGTCACAGTCGCCCTGCAATACGCATAGGATCCTTACCGGTGTTCCAGATTCACCAACCTTTCCATCGTTCCGAGGTTGGCAAACTGGTACCAAACCTATCTAAGAGGATAGCAGCACTGGCTCGATAAATCGCCAGACCACCGTGACTCATTGTAGGGGCCAGATATCAGTTAAATCACCTCCAACGATGCTTAATGAAGTCGAAAACATGGCGCATCCCTCAGTGATTGATCAGACTCCAGCGTAATCTTCATGTTTTCGGAGATTTGCTGGTTTCGCCATTGTGGTTCCCTGGAATCCCGAGGTCAGTCTGGCCAAAGTCTACTCCAGGTATTCAGAACCACAGGCAGCCGCAGCCCCTGTGGATCAGAGGGAGGTTTGCCATAATGCGACTTTAATATTAGAACGGTGGTGGATCCTGGTATTGGTTTACTCTTAGCTAGGCTTCCTGACAGAAACGCCGGAGTCGTTCTCAGCTTGGGAGACCCTTCCAAGGAGATGGATAGGTGTACAATGCACCCCGATGTGCAGTAACACCTCCTAGCCATAATGAAGCGGTTAACCGTTGGGAGGTTACGCTTTATCGCTTATCCTAAATGTGTGACTGCTGGACCATACTTTCTGTGGAATTTTACACCTTATTAATTTCAGACTGACCTCATTGGCAGATCGTTAAGAGAATTTTTACATTCATCTGACTACACGGAATACATGGAACTAACGAATCGTCTGGGTTCAGTACTTGACGAATGCCAGGACATCTCCAAGTCACCTGAATATGGCATGTATGCCGAACTACGAATGAAAACGGTTATCACGCAGCGCGGGCGGAATCTGAATCTCAAAAGCGCTCTGTACAAGGTGATCATCAGCTCTATTTACATCGTCACTATTGTGTAGAATTAATCCGAAACGCTCCAGAACTGTGCTGTTAAGGGAGTTTACATTATCTCATCATTATTTAAATTTCGATGCATCATGTAATGAAGTGTTTCTTGTCGGCTGCAGAGTACTGATTGTTCCACGTATAGTACAATATGCCCCGGCTTTATCGTCTTTGTTCTAAACTGATACACTAATGGTCCTAATCAGCAGTGAATAATTTCACACAGGAAGGTACTTTCGCTCAGTAGGACTCCAGAGCCGATGGACTGCGGCACTGTAGTATAGTGCATCTTTTTTTCTCCTAAATTACCAGCATTTTTTAAGACTAACGTTTTCTGGCAGTACTTGTAATTCACCAAACTTTCTATACGTTCTTTTTATTTCACGGAATACCCGAAAGAGCATTTCCAGTCAGTTTCGTTTATCCTTCGTGCTGAACGATCATTATGTGGCCACGTTGTCCGTTTGTTGGCAACTTCAGATCCCGCTGGTCAAGGTTCCGCAAATGTTCATGCCACAAGTCTTACCAAGGTTAGTTAGTTATTAGTTTGTGTGACCTTTCTCCTTGTTAACCTTTCCTTTAATCTTGTCGCTACCCTTTCGAAGAAGTCTCAAAAGCAAATCTTTTCAGCTTGCAGACACTCCAACAGGTTCTTTCATGACACGTCACACTTCTGACATGCGAATATCCTACATTCATGACCGACTGAACTATATTCTGAGAAATGAACTCAAGTCGCTTATAGGGACAAACTTTTTCGAGCTTATTGATTCAAATGATTTACCTTCGTTTCGTGAGGTTAGCCTATTAGGTCAATCGTCATGATCGATGCATTGCTTCTGAATTTTCCATGCTTCTATGTCTCTTTCCAGTCGATGGTGATACTTTTTGCGAAGGGTCATGTTCGAACTCTCCTATATCGTTTGTTGGCTGCTAACAACAGAGTAGTTTGGGTGACAACTGATGCTTCGATTGTTAATCATACGTCAAAAGGTCAACGATCTCAATATGTGATATGCGTTCATCATATAGCTGGGTAGGGGAGATTTATGTCTAATTCCAGAAGAATTGAAACTTCTAGTGTTCTATTCTACTCATATTATAATTCAGAATCAAGGAGATGGCAGAAGAAGGAGGGATATCGAAAAGAAGTTCCGCTGGTTGTACGATGCAAATTAAAAAGGAAATCGATGATACTAGAGGTATTAGTTTCTGTGATATGCCAGCACTTTCATTAGGATGTCTTCTTTTCTGAATGGTTTAAAACGCTTACGAATAAATTGAAACTACATAGTACAGCAAATCCTTTCCGTTAGCGGTCATTGCGATTGGGTTTTATATCTATGTTTTTATTGTTTGTCAAGTATCGAAAGATTTCACCATTTTGGTGTGGAAATTGGTTTCATGTGCTGACCAGAATCATTGGAGTTGAAAGGACCGGACGACAGAAGCGAACTGAAATGTCGGATTTGGTAAATGTAAGATAGAACGTAGTAAAGTCTCGTTCTAGGGAAATTTCAACTGGCGGGCGGTATCTCGCAGGACCGGCCGTCTGTAAAGCTCTGGACGGATCGATAATTCAGTATTTTCTTGTTAGTCAGTAGGAACCTTTTGTTTGCTCGTCAAGAAAACAGTGATTTAATACTAAATGTAGAAATTTCGATAGTGGAGTATGTAGCAGAGCATGGTTCGCAAAGTATAGTTCTCTTGTTTCTACCGTGTAAACTGAAATTCATAGATTGGACCATGGTTTTTTCCATGTTCTTTGCTTACTCGAATACTTGGTTTGCCGTCTTCACTGTTTGTGCGAGTCTCATCCAAATTCCCATTTTTCTGAGTTTTGCTGATTTACCTATTGTGGTTCCCTGGAGTCCTGAGGTCAGTTTAGGCAAAGCATGCCCCGGGTCGTCACCACCACAGGCAGTCGCAGACCTTGAAGATCAGAGGGAAATTTTCCATCATGTGATCAATTTGATATCAGAACGCATCCTGCGCATCCTGCTATTGGCTCACTGTTAGCTGGGCTTCCTGATTGGAACGTCGGTCTCCTCAGCTTGGGAGACCCTGCTAAAGGATGAATCCCTTGCTGCACATCGCAGCCCGGCAGACAGGAACACCTCTCAGCCGCGGTGAGGCGGTAAACCGTTGGAATTGAATGATGATCTTTATGCAGCTTTAACCAAATCTCTTTGTTCTAGAGTTGAATATATATATGTGGTCCTTTAGATTACGCTGGTCGTCAGCCTCATGTTGATGCTACTGGGACTATGGACTTCCAGATGCAACCACTTACTGGACGTGAGGACTTCAGTATGATGACACGTTTATTGTCATTCACAGATAGTGGAACAGTAAATGATACGTCTATAGACGGTATGTTCTCAAGGTCTTCCGTTTGTGTCGCTCTTTTTTTTTGTATTATTTTCATCTCATAGGTGTTGGTTGCGTTGCTCTTATTTTTCGCAGCTTCTTAATGATTAGTTCTGCATAGTTTAGACTTCATTCCTTGATATTACGCTTGTTACCACATGTTTCCGTCTTGTGATGTCCAGAATTTTTTTTTCACGTTCATAAGTTTTGTTTCTTCATTATCCACGCTTTCATTCTTCAGGTATGCCAAACCTATCGAAGACCTTTCATTGTGTTCAGGACTTTTATTTACGTGTATTCGTGTCCCTAAATTTTCTTCTTTTTTTCTTTTTTCGTAATTATTCTAAATCGTTAGGCAAACCATGGAGAATTTTGCATTGTTCTGGGTTAAAACTGTCACTTGGCTAAAATAGTACAATTTTGTTAGCTTTTCATTTCCTAACCATTAATACGTCGTTTTCTTGTTTAGCAATCATGAGGTTGTTGTACAGCATACATTTACTTCCATAGAAAGACGCACAATACAATACAACAGTAGCTGAAGTTTCGGCAGAATCGCCTTCTTCAGGGTTTGGAAGGGTATACTGATATACAATTTACTAGGCCAAAGGGTTCAATAGCACTTACGAAAAGACGAGAAACTCTATGGTAATTGCATGATCAACAGCTTCTCGGAACATTCACCGCTTTTTACGTAACTTCCAATGAGGAAGGTTAGAATAGCTGATTATAGTCGCATATGGTTGATGATTACACCACTCCACATCAGAAATTGATCCGAATATACGGGACCCGGTCGCGTGTGACCTCTGAGTATTCATCCCTGCTACTCATTGTAGGGTTTTTGGCATTTATTCAAAAAGTCCCAAGAATTTTGGGCGCCCGTGTTCTGGCATCCTGTGCAAGGATATTGGCTTTTACTTCAAAATCGTCTCCGCTGTGCTTTTGTATTCTGTGCGTGCCTAATCGGGTGCAGTCATCAACCATATGCGACTATAATCAGCTGTTCTAACCTTCCTCATTGTAAGTCACGTAAAAAAGTGGTGTTTTTCGAGAAACTGTTGATCGTGTAATTACCATAGATTTTCTCGTCTTTTTGTTAGTGCTATTGAAGCATTTGGCCTACTAAATTGTATATCAGTGTACCCTTGCAGGCACTGAGAAGGCGTTACTGCCGAAACGTCAGCTACTGTTGTATTGTATTGTGTCTTTTTTTATGGAAGTAAATGTATGCTGTGTAACAACCTCGGGATTGCCGAAAAAGAAAACAACCCATTCATATTCCAGTGCCGAGGTTAATAGAAAGTCGATCCTTGGAATTGTTCTCTGCTTGTTGTTATTTTCACGGGAGGATATGATATGAAATGCAACCACTGTGATGCAGAGGTATTTGAAAAACTTGGATCCCAGGCAAGGTCGAACCGTGATTACACTTTCCGGGGGCTCACGTGTTGCGCAGAACATCACCTAGGCCCTTGTTTTGCCTTTTTCTCAAGCATTTTTTATACCTAACGATCGATTTTGCAAGGAGTTCAAGTTTTACAAAAATCTCCGCATTACAGTGGCTGCATTTCACATCCTACCCTGCAGTGAGAAATAATAATATTCAGTAAATGAAAATTTAACATTGTGATTTCGACTAAGGTCTCAGGTTAACTGGGTTCGATGTCGATTTGTGTTCCCCAGATCAGTCCCATTGATGAATGATTGTTTATGCCAGTGTTAGGTAGATGAATTGCCTGAGAGCAAGGCAAAGGAAGGACTTCACTGTTGCTGTGAGTAACATATGAGCCTACAGAAAATGTAATCGCATTCCGATATGGATTTGGGTCCAATGCAAATATCTCAGCATCACAGCACAATTTTGACCCGTATGTCATGATCGACGGGTTTCACCCTCACCACTCGTCACATTGGGAGATGTAATCATGTAATCATTGTTGAAAATGTGCTGGTGGAAGTGAACAGACGCGAATAGTTTATACTTTGCGATAGGTGACGCAATGACGACAATGATTGAACACTACTAGTTTGAATGTAATCATTTGAATTCCATACATTTTTCCAGTAAGATGAACTTAGTTACTCCATCACAGTAAATAAATACTTGACTTTTGGAGTCTACCAGTCGTTCCCTTTCAAATACTTTTTCCATCGAATTGATTGAACAAACGAAGCTTCATTGAGCAGAACGTGATGATGTCTCGAAGAACAATTGAACGTTACAGCTGCTGCACCTCATGTAGATGTCTTTAAAATCTTTTTTTTCTACTTCTTTTTAAGGATTTGAGCCTAATGCTGAGGGGCTGGACTACAAATTTTTCGCTACAATTGATGTCCATACACTCCTGAATTCGTTCAATATAAAGTTTTTACAAAGTGCTAAGGGTAGGGAGTAGCTTTTCGTGGACCACATTTATTACAGTATCTGTTTTTGTTAGGCTCTTTATTGAATAGGAAAGTATTAGCAGACAAGCCTTTTGTGACAGAACTGGGAAGTCGGGAAGGCAAAGCGTGCTGTCATCTGTGTGTAAAAGAACAAAATGAAGACATATTGGAAGTAAGCTTTTGTAAAGTCTTCCAACTTCCACACCTCTCGACTGCTTTATCTGTCATAGAATGATCAGAATTTGTGAAGAAGCAAAACCGCTTATCAGTCTGCTGTTGAAGGTCGACTTCGGCATTTTTCTCAACCTCTTGAATGACCTTTTAGGATCTCTCGTAGTTATTTATCTTTAATCCATCAACACTATTTCTGGTTAGGTCGAACAGTGGTTATTCTTCCGGGCGGTTTAGGTAGAGAACTAGCCTAGAGAAAGGCAAAGCAATGGCCACTGTGATGTCATGTGTAGCACATGGATCCCCGGAAAGGGTAATCCCGATTCAATCTGGCTTGGGGTTCAAGTTTTGGGAGTATCGGCATCATTGTGGTTAAAGACCACATAATACCCTGCTGTCAAAAATAGTAGTAGGCAGTAAACAAAAGTTAACATTATGACTTGGACTATTTGTGGCGTTTATTCTTTAAGAATTTTACTTCACTTGCCACAAACATCTGCTAATCTCAATGTTTCAATGAACTTTAACAGAATCAAAACAAGAACAGACTAGGTTGGGCGGAGCCAGTGGTTAATATCCTGCATACTTCATACGATCGAACGGGTAGTCTTGTTTCCAGATAGACACTTGGAAGAAAAGCTTTTGCTTCAATCAATCGACCTGTGAAGACTTTCAAAGTCTGATTTCGACTACAGCCTCAGCTTGACGTGGTTCATTGCTGATTTGGGTTCCCAGATCAATCCCATTGACGGGTAATTACTGATGGCACTGGTAGATAGAAAACTAGCTGAGAGACAGGCGAAACAAAAGATCTGCACGATGTGGTGGTGAACGCGTTAGACCCCAGAAAGGGTAATAGCAAGTCCGTTTCTCACCACAGACACCTTCGGTCTGGAGTTTTGCAAATATCTCAGTGTCACTGTGGTTGTACCACACTCCTTTTTCATTTTTTTGCACACATTGGAACCAATTATTAACTAAAATAGAAGTCCTTGGTCTTCAGCATGCATAAGAACTGCTTCTGCTAAATGTTTATTTCATGAAGATTGTGTGGATCCAAAAATATTTTGTCCATTTTCATTCTGAACCTGATAATTTTTCAGTGTGGTGCTGTAGTAACTAACTGTTCAATATTAAGAGAGCATACTGAACCTTAAGCACTTAAGGATGCTGACTTGTTTTACACTGAGAAGCGCGTTAAGAGTATTGGTACTTGTTTTGATGGACGCGTTAATAGTAAGTGGAGATGTAGGTACTCAAAACAAGTGTTCCCAGTTTTAAACACTTCAGTGGTATAGTTTGTTTAGTCTTGCTTCTGATAATCTG